AAAAGATAGAGTGAGGAGCGATAGCTCACAGTCCACAATGTATAAGGATAAAGTCTTACTTCAGCCACAGCTATCATAGTAAATGCCAGCTCTTTCGGCCACGGGATCATTAGGACATACCCGTGTGAGACACAATACAGATGCAGAGAGGAAAGTCATACACATGTTCTAACTAAAACCTCAGGGAAATTATGGGTGCTGGGAATGGAACTATTTGAGTTGGAGATGAGCCAGAATATTAGCTACAGTTCCTGGGATCTTTCAAAATGAAAACTCAATTGGATTCTCAAATATAAAGTTTCTTCTTTTAAAATTTTTCATTTTATTATGTTTGAAACACTTAACGAGCGATTACCCACTTCACAGTGTTTTTTTTTTTTTCTTTTGGTGTTGGGGGGAACCCAGGCCCTTACACATGCTAAGCATGAACTCCTGCTGTGCTGCACCCCAGGCCCATCACTGAACAGTTCTGTGTGTACAGAACAGTACTGCTGACCACAGGTACAATGTTGTACGTCAGATCTCTAGAGGTTATTCATCTCTTAACTCAGACTTTAAGCTTGTTGATTAGTAACTTCCCATTGCCCCTCCCTAGCACCTGACAACCAGCATTCCACTCTTTGAGTCTATGAATTTGTCTGTTTTAGATACCTCATGTGAATGGAGTCATGCAGTATTTGTCTATGACTGGCTTGTTTCACTCAGCGTAATGCACTCTAGGTACATCCATTTTGTAGCACATAACAGAATTTCCTTTTTTAAGGCTAAATAGTTTTCTATTTTGTGTATACATACACATATATGTGACATACATGTACATATTATATATAATATGTAGTTCCTATATCACATATAATATGTATATCACTTATTCTTTATTCATTCATGTATCATAGACATATAGGTCATTTCCACATTTTTTATATCAAATCTGAATTATATTAGGGAACCATTAATAACACCTCTTCTACAAAGAGACTGTGACTTCCTTTTGGGTCCCCAGGAAAAGATCATTCTCCTAAAACTCCTCAAGCCTATCCCAGACAGTTAGGTGGCTCAAGAGTACTTGATGCTAACACAAAGGTGGGTCAGTTATTAAATCCTATAAGGTAAAAATCACCATGCAAAACTTTGAGAAATGTAGTTAGCATATATATTGTGCTCTCTTCTTTATGCTTTTCCCCTTCTTTCAGAAAAGTTTAATAATCAGAAACACTGCATTCAAAATCAGTGAACTCTGTATGACTGCAAGCATATTTCTCTTCATATTAAAAATGATAAAATATCATTAAATAGCTATTAGTTGCTGACTCTTAAGTGTCTTATCCCATTCTAGCTTTTCTATGATTCTAAGGGAGAGGTCCTATTATCAAGTTCAGCTTAATGCTGAAGAAACTGAGGTACACTCAGGTGAGGCGGTGCAGCCTCAGGAGGTTGAGGCAGGAGGATCATGAGTTCAACCAGTCTCAGCCACTTAGCAAGACCCTGAGCAACTCGGCAAGACCCTGTCTCTAAATAAAATATGAGAAAGGGCCAGGGACGCGATTCACTGGTTAAGCGCCCCTGAGTTCAATCCTTGGTACCAAAAAAAGAAAGAAATTAAGGCACAGTGTGAGGCCCTAGGTTTGATCCCCAATGGAATCAAGTAACAGAAAGGTTAAGGAATTCACCAAGTACCTATTCAACCCTCACATCAATTCAACAAGATAAATACTATCTGCTTCCTCACCTTAAAAAGATAGACACCAAGCATAGAGAAGTCCAATAATTCTCCTGTGCCCACGCAGCTAGTGTGGAGCAAGGCCAAGCTAAAAACCTCTACCGCATGACTTCAGAGCTGCAGGGCAGATGCAGCAGACGAGCAGAGCTACAGCACTGCGCATGTGCCTCAGCTGCCCTGAAATTTCAGGGAGCAGTGCAGAAGTGAGGAAGGTGCAGGCCAGCTCTACCACCCAATCAGTGAGAAGGTGGCGTGGACACACAGGTGTGCGCCTGTATGAAATAGGTAATGTCAACACACCTCTGTGTGGTGTTCAGAAAGAACACAAGCTCTGAAATAGGTCATCAGGGTGGATTTTGTTCCACTCCTTATTAACTGATGCCCTTGAGTAAATCACTTAATCTCTAAACCTTGGTTTCTTACACTGAAATGTGGGTAATAATATATACGTTACAGCGATGCTGTAAGTGCTATAAGCATTATACATAAAAGACATACGTAAGTGCCAATCACTGTTCCTGAGCCAAACAGCTGCCTAACAAAGATTCCACTCTTTAGTGCCATTTTTCTCTTTATTGACTTTATAGGAAGAAAAAGAATACCAAAGTACAAGCCTTAAAATCATTCAGAGCACAACACGGTTTTTACCAGGCTGGCAGTCACATACCGTTGAGCAGGTTGGACACTGCAGAAGAGAACCCAGCCAAGGGGGTGAAGCTGAACTGTAGCTCACACCCTACATAAAGAACAGATCCACCCCATACACACCTTTTTCCACATTCTAAAAGTGGCATGCCTCTACTGCCGCACCATTCGAAATTGTTTATTCTTATTCATTCTCAGACTATCTTCCTAAAAGTAGTTAGGAAGCCAGAGAAATTCTCCATGGAAACTAGGTTTTTCCTTGGCTAATTCATAAACTTCACTGAAGTCAGTTTGCAAAGACCAGAACAATTAGGTTCTGCACTCCTCACGAGGTTGCTTTCCCTTGGATTATTTCAATCAACAGAAAAGAAGTGTGCCCTTAATCATGAATTTACATAACTAAGATGCACTGAGTTCTTACCAAATTCAGCAACACTATATACTTAACATCCCTGAGCAGAGGTAGAGGTCTGACATTCATTCACGTTTTAAAGAAGAAGAAAAAAATAGCTGAGTTCTATTGCATGATCACAAGGGAAAGGAATAAAGACAAGAAAATAATTTTTCAGCACATTCTAAATGCTGGATTCTTTGTTAGTAAGTATAAGAACCTTCCTTTAAATAATCCTTCTAATCAAAACCATAAGTATTGTTTAAAATATCTGAATGATTTAAGCTGGATGTTGAAGATAAGGGAAGGAGACACTGGCTTCTCGTTTTTTAATCTTCTGCATTATTTTAATTTTTTCACCCATATGTATTTTATTTTAATTATGCTGGGAGACATAGACATGATTACCAATTCTCATAGGAGGAAACAGAATACATCAATTTTAAGGTAACTTTTTTGGCTAAAAAACGATGGAGTCATCATTCAAAAATAATACTGTCTTAGAAAAAAGAGTTTCAGGGAAGTTCAGAGTTCATTCTTGGGAACTCTGTTTTCTCACTAATGTGGAATTGGTTGGCCACTAAGAAAAATAAAACTAGGCCAAAATGAAGGACTTGAGGAAGAGATTTTAAAAAAAGAAAGAAAAAGGATCATCATTGTGAGCTTGGGGCAGGGAGTTGACTGGGGCTAAGCAAATGGATGGCTCAGCACAGAGGAGGGCCTGCTAAGATTGGAACTCATAAATCTGTAATGGAGCCAATCAGCACAATTATATAATTTTTTCCCAGTGGACCTGGGAGAGTCCAGAAGTGGTTGATTCAGGATTGGCAGGATATACGTGGTGTTAAACAAGGGCTTTAGAAGTCTTGAGGGGACCTGTAGTTTCAAAGCAGGTAAGATACTGAGCCTGAATTCCATCCCTTCTGAGAACAAACTTAAAAGTAGAATAAGATTAAAAGGAATTGAAAAGACAGACACCAGACCTCGTGAAAACAGGTCCCGCAAGGGTTTATGTGCAAAGGGCAGGTGCCACTCTAGAGGGGGAGGAGCAAACCTAACCAAAGGAACCTCCACAAGGTTTTGAGCTCAAAGGCAGCAGAAGCAACAGCAGGCAAACGTGAGATGTGGAAAGGAACCCAGAGGAACTCTTCAGGCATCTGAGGGAGAGACCCCATATCAGTGGGCCCTGCCATTGGCATCCATACGCCCACCCCAAGATCCAATTCAGGAACCAGAGATTCATCAGAAAGCTCTTCTTTAAAGAAACTGCAAGACATTCAAAAAGCTAAGCCTCTACACTAGACATTGTCCCCCCATTGCACCCTCTCATTCTTGCATTTGGAATGGAGGAGGAGAAGAGCAAGAGATGCTAGACTGAGTGCTGTCAGACTGCAAAGTCCAGAAAAAAAACAAACAGAAAAATTGTCCCTCAAAACAAAATGATAAAATGTAAGGAACAGAAACAAAGTTGAAAAATTCCAATTATATGCCCAGAGGGACCTGAGAAGGTAAGACTGTCTTAAGACAACTTCAGGATGCTATGAAAAAGGAACACTCAGAATTCAACAAAGAAAAAGATTTTCCTCAAAGTAAAAATATATATATATGTGTGTGTGTGTGTGTGTGTGTGTGAGAGAGAGAGAGAGAGAGAGAGAGAGAGAGAGAGAGAAGAAAATAAAGTTTGGAAAAAAAACCCATAGCAGAAGACAACAGCATATGAAATACGAGAGAATAAGTTCAACACACAGGCAACCAGTCCATAAGTTGCAACATCTGATTAACAGGAATCCTGCAGAACACAAGTAAAATGAAGAGGCAAGAATGAGAAAAACTATAGTATAAGAAAATTTCTCCAAGGTAAAAAGAAAACAGACATATGTATTATATTTAAAGGGCTTAGAAAGGACTACGTACAATGAATGAATCAAGTCCAATGGAGACATCCATCATCAATCCATCCATCCACCCATTCACCCACACATCCATGCAACAAATGCCACTCATTGTTTTAGATGGCAGGGAGGCAACCATTATGCAGACAGGTATAGTAACTGGTCTCAAAGAGCTCATATTTTAGAGCCAGAGACAAGAACAAAGAAAATAATTAAACAAGATCATTTCAGATAATGTTAAGTGCTCCTGCCTCAGCCTCCTGAGCCGCTGGGATTACAGGCATGCACCACCATGCCTATGGGCTCCCACTTTGGTCATGATGACAGGGGATGGCTCTTCAGAGGTACTTACCCTGTTGTATAAGGGATGTTGATGCCCCCTAGATTGATGCTTTCACATCCAACAATAAATAGGGTTGAAAAACACAGTAAAGACACACCGCTGCAGATCATTGCTAATTTTGCAGATTCTCTTGCACCAAGTTTCAATTTTTTTATAATGTAGCCTCCGAGGACAATACCAACACCAGCACTGGGGACAATAATAACACCTGGAAAAAAAGAGAAGGGGAGGATTAATTTGAACTAATATACATGATTGTTTGTCTTTTCCAATTATTCTGTTTCTGTTTGCCTATTAGTACTAGAGTAAAGAATTTTAAAATTGTTGTCATCAATAAATAAAAGGGTGTGTGATTCTACAGTATAATATCACTTTCAACACCTAATGATCAACAAAGGATTCACATCCTGATGTTATGAAGAATGTTAACAAAGCAATAAGATAAACAACCCCTTAGAAAAATAGGCAAAACTTGAATCGAACCTTCACCAAAGAGAAAATACAGATGACCAGTGAGCTCATGAAAGGCACCCACCTCATTGCTAAGAGGGAAATACAGATTAAAACCACAGTGAAACACCACTATGCACCAATGGTAAAAATTTAAGTCACAATACCACATGTTGGCAAAGATAGAGAGGGCTGGGAACTCTCCACCTTGGTGGGATGTCAATACTGACACCACTTTGAAGCATAAATTGGCATTATAGAGTTGAAAATATATATCCCTGTAACAGGCAATTCCATTTCTGGATCCATATTTTGAAGAAATTCATGCTCCCAGGCAACAAAAGAGATTACAAGATATTTGAAACACTCTAAGAGCCCAAAACTGGCAATAAACCAAGTGTCCATTAACAGATACATTATATGTAATATATTCATATAATGCAGTATATGAATATACATTCATATACTGCAATTAAAAGGAATATACTATACAGCAATTAAAAGGAAGAAATGTAGACACATATAATATGTGGCTGAATTCTACCAAGACAATGTCCAATGAAAGAAAGAAACTACAACAGAATACTATACATGACATGTTTACACTTGCAAAAAGTACTAGGAATATAGGTACATACACAGGTAATACAACTGGAAAAAAAAAAAACCTAGAAGGTAATTGTCATAAGAGCCAAGATAGTAGGGGAATCAGTGATAGGAAAGAAGGGGTTCCTCTGGTGTTGAAAACATGTCATTCCATAATCTGGGTAATAGCTACTGCTATGGCCTGAATGTCCCCCCCAAAATTCATATGTTGACATCCTAACCCCTGACACGATGACATTAGGAGGTGGGGTGCATGTGGAATTTGGGTGTGATTAGATCGTCAGGGTGGAGGCCAGATGAATGGGATAAGTATTCTAATAAGATACCCAAAAGCCAGGCTCAATGGCACTCACCCGTAATCCCCGCAGTTTGGGAGGCTGAGGCAAGAGGATCCTGAGTTCAAAGCCAGCCTCAGCAATTTAGCGAGACCCTGTCTCTAATTAAATATAAAAATGGACTGGGGATGTGGTTCAGTGGCTAAGTGCCCCTCAGTTCAATTCCTGGTACCAAAAACAAAACAAAACACAAACAAACCCTGAGAGTTCCTCATCTCTCTTGCCATGTGAATACATGATAAGGAACCATCTAAGAGAAAGAGAGTCCTCACCAGACACCAAACCTGCTCATGTCTTGATCTTGGTCTTCCAGTCTCTAGAACTGAGAAATAAATTCCCCTTGTTTATAAACCATCCTGTCTTTGGTAATCTTATTGCAGCAAATCAAAAAGACGAAACAAGTGTTTCCTTTATATTTATTCCTTATCTCTATATGCATTTCTGAGTGTGTTATATTTCACAGTAAAAAATAATATAATAAAATTATAGAAATAATTTTACAATCTAAAAGAGGTTACACATAGGTGATAGATAATGAGAATGTAATGCAATTGTTCTACCAAGGGCATGGAGAATACAGGAGAAGAGGCACTTTTTTCTTCCCTGGGAGAAGTCAGCAAGGCCTTCTCACAGAGGCAGTACGTAAGCTGACACAACAGATGAGACAGAATCTGCCCAATGGCCCAGCACAGAGAGAACCTCCTATACAAAGGAAATACAAGCAGAGAGGCAGGAGATAATGGAATTGAGAACTCAGAGAAGTCCAAAATATTGGGAGGGTGGAAGGCAAGTTGTTGAGAGGTAGCAGGACATGGGGATAAGAGGTTAGGAAGAGTGAGACCATGAGAGACAAGGGAAAGATGCTCAGACTGTATGTCTGGACAGGCCACTGGAGAATCCTGAGCTGGGTCAGACAGGATGGGAGTGGTACGTTGTGAAGACTCCTCTAAGAGAGATATGAGGGAGCTTAGCTGGGGTGAAAACATGAGTCAGAGAAGTGGTCCGGAGGGTAACTGCAAAGGTCCTGTGAGCCACAGTAAGGCTCTGCCCTGGTAGCACAATAAACTAGATAATGAGGCTGGGGGAGAAGGAATAGGAGGACTAGTGCAGGACACTCAGGCAGGGGGATCCAGAATAGGAGGGTAAGGTGTGGGGGGCTATTCCATGGTCTCCACAGTGCACACGCTGAGTTGAAGGCCCGTGGAACTACCAGAGAGAAATGCCTCACACTGTCCTACCTGGGGGCTGTAAGCTCCAGGAAGAGCCAGGCTGGGGGTGTAACCTGTAGTTGAATTCATGGCAGAGCTGGGATGTTACAAGATGGCACAGAGTGAGAAAGGAAAAGAGCCAAAACCCAAAGAAAGCTGAAAAGAAGCAGCCACAGAAGCAAAAGAAAATCCAGAAAAGAGAAATGTCACAGGGAGGATAAAACTTGGGATTTGTAGCCAGGTCATCACAGATTAGCTTCCTAAACTTTCTAAGCCAGACATCTTTACTAAGGAGCTGTGCACCTTTCATGTGAGAACCAAGATGGCATGCACTCCCTGTGGGTAGATACAGCACATAGCATATGGTACACAATATAAACTGTAGGAACAGTCAGAGCAACTGTGCCATAGAAAACTAAAGAGAGAGAGAGTTTCGAGGAGAGAATGGAAAGTGGTGTCAAATGCCTCAGAAATCCAGTAAGGAAGACTGAAATGAAATCATCGTGCACCTGGAAACCTTGACAAGAGCGATTTTAAGGGTGTCATAAAAGAAGAAGCCAGACTGCAATGGCTTGAGAAGTCAGTCTTAAGACTGTGGAGACTGGGACTTGATTGATCTTTCTAGAACTCTAGCTATTAAAGGAAGGAGGGGTAGAAGTCTACAGTTAGAGTGAAGCCAAAGTAAACCCGAGGTTCAGGGAGGGAGTCGTCTGTTTGCTAAGATGCAGAGGGGACTTGTGTATGTTTACATACTGAGGAAAATACACTAAAACAGAGTGAGAGGTTGAATGCAGAGGAGAAAGATAGCTAATGACAATGCAAGATCCTTGAAAAGTCAACACGGATCATCTGTTTAGCCCCGGAGAAGGCTTCACCTAGACCAGAACAGGGGACAAGTCTGCAAGGGGGCGGCAGCTGCACGAATGTTAACTCTCCCTTTTGGTTATGTTTCCATTACTTTGGAAACAATGTAATATGTGTTGCAATAAAATATTTGAAAAACATAGAAAAGTATGAAAGAACATAATTGAATGCTTTCATATTTAACTGCTTACATTCTGGCATAGTTTGTTTCCTTAGGAAAAACAATGATGACATGATATATATTCATATTTTATAGCTTCATTTTGGGTGTTATGTACAATTGGAAACAAAACCAACTCTTAGAAGAGATACTGAGAACTTTCCATGTGACCAAGAGTTGGCATAACTCTAGTAGCACTCAATAGGAACTTGTAATGGTCTTGGCACATGGAGAGACCTGATACATCCGATACCAGAAATCTGCAGCTGAGTGGATGGGCATGGCTGGTGGCTTGTCCTAGCATGTCAACAGTCCCCATAAAGAGCAGAAGAGGATGGTTAGATTAATCTGAAATCATGGTTTTGCCTGGCAACCATTTTGTCATCATCATCAGAGTCCCATAAAATAGCTAATGGCCCTTTTATGGATGAGGAAATTGAAGGTTCAGAGCAGTAACTTGCCTAATAGTGCAGACAGAGAGGAAGAGAAAGGGGTGAAAGAGACTAAAAATTGACTTCTTGTGTTCCCAGCCCAGCACTCCAGATCCACATTACCACAACAGCCACTTAAGGCCAAGAGGTCCCTGAAATCTTATAGGTAAATTAGGAGCTTCATGATGAGAGAAGCTGATTAATAAAGCATCCTCCTCATTAAGGAAAAGCACAAGGGCTGTGAGTGTGATTAGAGAGGCAGAATTTTACCCTCAGAGTGAAAATGGTCCATTGACAAAAGTTCTATTTCCATTGAACAATTTATGGAGTGCCAGTTTCCATGCAAAGCTCAGGATAACAAAAACAAAAGTCCTCCTGTTCAGAACTGAGTCATAATTTTAAAACAGGATAATTTGACTATGCATCTTAGTGTTCAGTCTTAAAAATAGAAAATTTGTCATCAGTAAATATTAGGGTGCATCAAATGGGATGAAGACCCACTAACATTTTCTCCTTATATCCCACTGTCTTCTAAATCTCACCACTCTGTTGAAACGGGAAGCTTGTTAATCTTCTTCTTCTTCTTCTTCTTTTTTTTTTTTTTTTTTTTTTTTTTTTTTTTTTTTTTTTTTTTTTTTTTTTTTTTTTTTTTTTTTTTTTTTTTTTTTTTTTTTTTTTTTTTTTTTTTTTTTTTTTTTTTTTTTTTTTTTTTTTTTTTTTTTTTTTTTTTTTT